GAGTCACTACGACCCTGTTGGGAGTTCAGATTTTTGTTGTATTAGCTTGAACATTTTGAGGAACGCCCCCACTAAGCCACATCCCCAATATAATTTCCCAGAGTGCCTTGCTGTTTTGAGTGAATTGTGGAATTACCACCCTGACTGTATTAGTTAGTGACAGATGCATACAGTGTTGTTGAATTCGTTCATTTTCAGTCCTGTTGCCTTCACCAAGTGAGTTACTAGGTGAATGTTATCATTATAATGAAACACTTTCTGCTAAAAATCCAGGCTCTGTCGTAGCCTGCCGCGACCGGGAGACCCGTGGGGCGGCGCACAATTGGCCCAGCGTCGTCCAGGGTAGGGGAGGGAATGGCCGGCAGGGATGTAGCTCAGTTGGTAGAGCATGGCGTTTGCAACGCCAGGGTTGTGGGTTTGATTCCCATGGGGGGCCAGTATAAAAAATGATGTATGCACTCACTAACTGTAAGTCGCTCTGGATAAGAGCGTCTGCTAAATGACTAAAATGTAATGTAAATGTAATACATTACATCTCATCACATATCTCATAAGGCCTTATTCTGAGGCCTAGCTTTACCCCTAATACAGTGGCCTGAAACGGAAAATCCCCAGATTTTCTAAAAAATCCTGGTTGAAGGATTTCCAGGAATCTTCCAACTGTGATTTCTGGAAAACCTGAGAAATTTACCAGAATTGTGCAACCCTACCTGCAAGTCACATTATGCTGTATTACAAAGTAATGTGTAATTCCTATTGGAATCCAGCCAGAGGCTATCCAACAGTTGAAATTTTATTCACCCGCAACCTGCATTCATAATGACTGCCATGGTTAGGAACAGTGGGCGGAGACTAGCTAAACCATTTAAACTGGAACAATCATTTCAGTAATGGGTGCACAAATTCTAACTAAATGATTGGATTAGTTTAGAAAAAGGTATGTTATTTATCTTTCTGTAGCATAAGATTAATTAATCAATGATGCAGTGTACATGCAAAAACACAGATATTAAAAATAATTTTAAAAAATCTACCTACAGTAGGGCATGCTGGGGAAAAAGTTCATTTGCTTTCATAACTTTTAAAAAATGTAGTTGGTGTGACTTCTCATTTATATAAACATTTGAAGTAATAATGCATTTTAATTGACTTACAGTTCAACTTACTAGAAGTATTTGAAATGTAGTATTTCTGTCTGTAATAAAGCCCTTTTGTGAGGATAAACACATTCTGATTGGCTGGGCCTGGCTCCCCAGTGTGTGGACCTGGCTCCCCATTGGATGGGCCTGGCTCCCCAGTGGGTGGGCCTGGCTCCCCAGTGGGTGGACCTGGCTCCCCAGTGGTTGGGCCTGGCTCCCCATTGGTTGGGCCTGGCTCCCCAGTGGTTGGGCCTGGCTCCCCATTGGCTGGGCCTGGCTCCCCAGTGGTTGGGCCTGGCTCCCCATTGGCTGGGCCTGGCTCCCCAGTGGTTGGGCCTGGCTCCCCATTGGCTGGGCCTGGCTCCCCAGTGGGTGGACCTGGCTCCCCAGTGGGTGGACCTGGCTCCCCATTGGCTGGGCCTGGCTCCCCAGTGGGTGGGCCTGGCTCCCCAGTGGGTGGACCTGGCTCCCCAGTGGCTGGGCCTGGCTCCCCAGTGGCTGGGCCTGGCTCCCCAGTGGGTGGACCTGGCTCCCCAGTGGGTGGACCTGGCTCCCCAGTGGCTGGGCCTGGCTCCCCAGTGGGCTGGGCCTGGCTCCCCAGTGGGTGGACCTGGCTCCCCAGTGGGTGGACCTGGCTCCCCAGTGGGTGGGCCTATGCCCTCCCAGGCCCACCCATGGCTGCTCCCCTGCCCAGTCATGTGAAATCCATAGATTAGGGCCTAATGAATGTATCTATGAACTGTAACTCAGTAAAATTGTTGAAATTGTTGCATGTTGCATTTATATTTTTGTTCAGTATACTATCAAGTATTTGAGGCCTCTATTAGTGGATTCTAATAGAGATACACTATATATACAGCAGTATGTGGACACCCCTTCATATTAGTGGATTCTAATAGAGATGCACTATATATACAGCAGTATGTGGACACCCCTTCATATTAGTGGATTCTAATAGAGATGCACTATATATACAGCAGCATGTGGACACCCCTTCATATTAGTGGATTCTAATAGAGATGCACTATATATACAGCAGTATGTGGACACCCCTTCATATTAGTGGATTCTAATAGAGATGCACTATATATACAGCAGCATGTGGACACCCCTTCATATTAGTGGATTCTAATAGAGATGCACTATATATACAGCAGTATGTGGACACCCCTTCATATTAGTGGATTCTAATAGAGATACACTATATATACAGCAGTATGTGGACACCCCTTCATATTAGTGGATTCTAATAGAGATACACTATATATACAGCAGTATGTGGACACCCCTTCATATTAGTGGATTCTAATAGAGATGCACTATATATACAGCAGTATGGGGACACCCCTTCATATTAGTGGATTCTAATAGAGATGCACTATATATACAGCAGCATGTGGACACCCCTTCATATTAGTGGATTCTAATAGAGATACACTATATATACAGCAGTATGTGGACACCCCTTCATATTAGTGGATTCTAATAGAGATACACTATATATACAGCAGTATGAGGACACCCCTTCATATTAGTGGATTCTAATAGAGATACACTATATATACAGCAGTATGTGGACACCCCTTCATATTAGTGGATTCTAATAGAGATACACTATATATACAGCAGTATGTGGACACCCCTTCATATTAGTGGATTCTAATAGAGATGCACTATATATACAGCAGTATGTGGACACCCCTTCATATTAGTGGATTCTAATAGAGATGCACTATATATACAGCAGCATGTGGACACCCCTTCATATTAGTGGATTCTAATAGAGATACACTATATATACAGCAGTATGTGGACACCCCTTCATATTAGTGGATTCTAATAGAGATACACTATATATACAGCAGTATGTGGACACCCCTTCATATTAGTGGATTCTAATAGAGATACACTATATATACAGCAGTATGAGGACACCCCTTCATATTAGTGGATTCTAATAGAGATACACTATATATACAGCAGTATGTGGACACCCCTTCATATTAGTGGATTCTAATAGAGATACGCTATATATAGGGCAGTATGTGGACACCCCTTCATATTAGTGGATTCTAATAGAGATGCACTATATATACAGCAGTATGAGGACACCCCTTCATATTAGTGGATTCTATTTCAGCCACAGCCGTTACTGACAGGTGTATAAAATCGACCAGACCGCCATGCAATCTCCATAGACAAACATTGGCAGTAGAATGGCCTTCCTGAAGAGCTCAGTGATTTTCAACATGGCACCGTCATGGATGCCACCTTTCCATCAAGTCAGTCCGTCAAATTTCTGCCCTGCTAGAGCTGCCCCGGTCAACTGTGAGTGCTGTTATTGTGAAGTGGAAACGTCTAGGAGCAACAACGGCTCAGCCGCAAAGTGGTAGACCGCCGAGTGCTGAAGCGTGTAGTGCGTAAAAATCATCTGTCCTCAGTTGCTAAACTCACTACCGAGTTCCAAACTGCCTCTGGAAGCAACATCAGCACAATAACTGTTTGTCGGGAGCTTCATGAAATGGGTTTCCATCGTCAAGCAGCCACACACAAGCCTAAGATCACCATGCACAATGCCAAGCGTCGGCTGGAGTGGTGTAAAGCTTGCTGCCATTGGACTCTGGAGCAGTGGAAACACGTTCTCTGGAGTGATGAATCACGCTTCACCATCTGGCGGTCCGGCGGACGGATCTGGGTTTGGCGGATGCCAGGAGAACGCTACCTGCCCCAATGCATAGTGCCAACTGTAAAGTTTGGTGGAGGAGGAATAATGGTCTGGGGCTGTTTTTCGCGGTTTGGGCTAGGCCCGTTAGTTCCAGTGAAGGGAAATCTTAATGCTACAGCATACAATGACATTCTAGATGATTCTGTGCTTCCAACTTTGTGGCAACAGTTTGGGGAAAGCCCTTTCCTGTTTCAGCATGACAATGCCCCCGTGCACAAAGCGAGGTCCATACAGAAATGGTTTGACGAGATTGGTGTGGAAGAACTTGACTGGCCTGCACAGAGCCCTGACCTCAACCCCATCGAACAGCTTTGGGATGAATTGGAACGCCGACTGCGAGCCAGGCCTAATCGCCCAACATCAGTGCCGGACCTCACTAATGCTCTTGTGGCTGAATGGAAGCAAGTCCCCGCAGTAATGTTCCAACATCTAGTGGAAAGCCTTCCAGAAGAGTGGAGGCTGTTATAGCAGCAAAGGGGGGACCAACTCCATATTAATGCCCATGATTTTGGAATGAGATGTTTGACGAGCAGGTGTCCACATACTTTTGGTCATGTAGTGTATATCTGAACATGTGAGATTTGTAAGTGTGTTTTAACTCAAATCTAACATGTAGTTAAAGAGTGAGTCATCATTAATGAAGCAAACTAAGAGATTGATGCTTCCGGCCATGAGTGCATGACCTGATCTGTTGATTTACAGTTTTTGGGTGTGACTGAAATGCACGTCTTTAATAAATTGCATAGGCCTACATTTGTATACATGTCCCTAATATATTTAATTGAAATGTTTACTTTCTACAACATTTTTTAACATTAATTGTAAAATGCATTTCAAAGAAGTAGCCATTGGGCCCTTTAAATTGACCATCTCATACCAGCATTCCTTCAACATTGTGCACAATAAATCTCTCTTGCTTTCTCTGGTCCAGAGTACAGGTAGGCTAATGTGTCCTAACCAAATGTAGGCCTACTAATTTGCTTAAAGAATTAGCCTATTTTAGCATGCAAAGTAGTGTTAGTAGATGTTTCCTTCCTTCCTCGGATCTGAGAGGCTGGCTCGTCTAAGGAGGGGAGGGGCATAGAAAGTGGACTCTTTCTTATAAGCCTTGAACTGCGGTCCTCCGTGCATACCTTCGGCGACGCTATAGCCTACGGTAAACAGGGGTAGACTGTATTACTTTATATTGGCCGGAAATTAAACTTTGTGATTACACTTTGAGGACGTTTGGTTCCAAATTGCAATCTGCATAGCTGGGTTTCAGCAAAGAAACGGTTGGAGAAGTTTAAATTTAAGGAGATTATAAGAAGAGGACAAGTTTAATTCAGCCACGGCGCAGGATCGGGAAGGGTTTATTTCAGTGTCCAGTTGAGGATGTTAACTTCCAACCCTGCATCAGAGTGACTTCTTCTCTCACAGAGTTGTAGAGTGAGAAGGGAAGGCTGTTTAAATGTGAATGCATGTCTCTACGGTATAGATAGACTAACCCAAGGAGGAAGAAACAGTGACGTTTTTATTGCACTCCGTCTCTCCCGCTGACTGAACTGAACCATGCAGCATCCCTTGGACTTGGGGGCTCACTATTACCCCCCGGAGGCTCACCCCGACCACCGCTCCCACTCACACCGCTACCGGAGCTTCATGATCGAAGAGATTCTGACCGACCACCATAAGGTGTCTACCCCGGCAGGGGAGCTGCTCAAGTTCGGAGTACAAGCTCTGTTATCGGCGCGGCCATACCACAACCACCTGGGTAAGATGCACTACTTTTGGTTCTAGCTTGTTTTTAGATGGAGGTGTTGCTTAACTTTATGCTCGAAATGTATCCGAAAAGTTAGGTTGTATTTGCTGTTAGTCTTTGTTGTATAGTCTTCTCTAGACCAGGAACGAGTTTGGGAAAACTTGCTCTAGATGACTGATTTTGTTTTTCAACTGAAGCTATTCGTTCAGGCAGTAATTGTCCCAAATGGCGCCGCGTAAAACAAGTTGATTTAATGCATCTTTGCATATGAGCCTATTTACATTTGTGTTTCTGGTAGTATTTACTTATACAAAGTGCACGATCGAGAAACTTTTCAAATGTATATAGGCTATAATAGTAGGGCAAAGGTCTACCAACGGTTTCTTGGATGAACCCCAAAATAAGCAATCGAGAGAGGCGCGTTACCAGTAAGCCATAGGCATGTTTCAAAAACAAGATTATAATTTCATTGGATCTTTAAGAAGGTTTCTAAAGTATATATTACTATATAAACTATCAAAAACGGTAGACAAGTTTGTCTTGTGAATGTTTCCACTCAAACGAATGGTCACACTGGGTCACCAAACTTTAGAAAGGGCGATGCGGGCCTTCTGCTTCACGCAGCCGGTCTCTGCTTTCAGAGTATTGGCCTAATGTCCTTTTTCCAGAGTGGTATTACACGTGTTTACATTGATTGGTCATACGTTTTGTAAAACTAGGCCTTGTTTATCGAATACCACTATTTATGCATATCAGCAGTCATATGAATTTGGCTCAGGGAAACTGTGTTGGTGGGTGAAAAAACACATTAAGAAAATAGTAGCATGACGTCACTTTGCGTGTCAATATTTCGACTAGAAAGTAGATGCATTTGGTTACATATTACATTAATTGAAATGATCCTTTCATTGTTCATAAGAATATAAAAAAATATATATAATGCTTATAATAATATAACTATTGCTATAAGCATTACCATAATTATGAAATAAATACAATACCATTTTACAATGAAATGATTATTATTTGTAGTGGTCCTAGGCCTATTCTAGTATAACGTAATAATAACAACTATGTCTTAAATAGTACTATGACTTAACTATTATCAAAATAATACACAGATATAACAATATAATAAATAAAATAATAATAATTATATTATTATAAAATAAAATGTTAGTTACATTTTACTGTATTAATGTTAACCTTTATTTTACCAAGAAAACTGTCATCATCAGTTTGTAATTGCCAAGCTAATAGTAAAGTGTGCAGCCTGTAGGCATTGTTAAATGAATTATCTTCGTGTAGACCTAGAATAACTCCATTTAAATGTGATATTGTTGGACTTTTAACTTGCAGTTTTGAAGGCCGACCAGTCGGGTATCCTGAAGTTCCCCATGTCGCCACTCTCTTGTTCATTTGGATCACCGTTAGGCTCTTCTCTCCTATCCGGGGCTCCGGGCCGGCACAACGGCTCAGCCTCCCACCACCTGCCGCTGGACCTCCACCTCCGAAGCAAGCTTGAGCACGGCGGCGAAGGCAGGAGCAAGTCCAAAAAGGGCCGACGGAGCAGGACGGTCTTCACTGAGCTGCAGCTCATGGGCCTGGAGAAAAGATTTGAGAAACAAAAGTACCTTTCAACACCAGACAGGTATTCAAATTATTTCAATCAACTCTGTTTATCCCCAAGCCCAGTTATTGCTGCTGTGAGTAAAAAGTGACAGGCAGACATAACAACATGCAAATTAGCCTTATCTGCTGTTAGGACTGATGAAACCAAAGAAAATATCCTTCTTTATTACCATTGACTATCGACTGCTTTTAGTTCAAGGCAGCGTGATAGTGGGATATTGGAGAATGTCAAGGAAATCTCTCTAATCGCTTCTGTCTTTGTCCATGCAGAATAGATCTTGCTGAGTGTCTGGATCTGAGTCAACTACAAGTCAAAACCTGGTACCAGAACAGACGAATGAAATGGAAGAAAATAGTACGTTCTCATGTCTTATTCTGAATAATATGACAATGAGGAGGAGAATGATTTAGATATAGAATGATATGAGTTCACTTGGTTTTATGGTAGGCCTTAACCGTTTAATTGTAGACTATTGAACTGTTTCCACTGAAACTTGAATCGTTTCCACTGTACAGGTCCTACAAGGAGGAGGATTGGAATCTCCAACCAAACCAAAAGGCCGTCCGAAGAAGAATTCCATCCCCTCGAGCGAGCAGCTTTCGGAGCAGGAGAGGTCTCGAGACGTCGACCGTAAATCGGACGGTTCCACCTCGTCACATTCAGACACTAACCAAGAGGAATTATAACGTTGGTGCTCCGAGCCTCCGACTAACTGACAACTAACTATCTGACGACGTTCACCTGACATACAGCCTCTGGGATGCGTAATGTTACATGGTCGACGGTTGGATCCACGTGCCTTGACGTCGATATGTTGGCACTTAGAGAGAGACTGATGTTGGCCTCCGGTAGGAGAGGCGGAACTACATTTTTTACTACTAATCTCGCTCATCCTGGGACGATGTTACTTTTTGTATGCTATATCACATCTTCTTTCATCGTCAATGTGTTCACAATACCTTCTATGCGTCCTTCCGCGTTACGACAAAACTGTTGTTACTGCTGTGGAGCGGTAGAGAGAGGAGTGAGGAGTGAAGGGACATCGACCAGTAGGTACTGTTTCATTGCCTCCATTCCAAGGACCCACTTTCCACCCACTTATTCTGTTCTGCCTTTGTTTGTTTAGCATATTTACATGTTTTATTATGTTTTTGGACATTTTGGGATGTAATTAAATATTTTTTTCACTTACACTAAATTGTTATTATATTTTTATTTTAAATTAGACCAAAATTGATATTTCCTGCAATCACATAAGAATGTTGATGTTGTTGGCGGCTGGGAGGTAATTTTACCTCCAACATTACTATTCTGCTAAACTCATAGGCCTATCCATCTGCTTTTTCTGTTCCAACGCTGTGATGTGAAAAGTCGTTCACTTTAAACATTTGATCAGTGCTACAATTTTTGGTGGTTAGGCCTAACATTACGGACAATTCTGCATGATATAGAGCAGGGTTCTGTGTTTTATTTCTACCTGGTAGTTAATTGCACTCACCTGGTGTCCCAGGTCTGAATTAGCCCCTGATTATAAGGAGAGGATGAAAAACAGAGGTGTTTCGTCCCTCCAGGACCGGAATTGAAGAACCCTGATATAGAGAGTCCTGGGTTTATTTGAACGAAAACGAAATGTAACGAAATGTAACGACCAAAGCGAAATAGGAGTGCTTAATAATATTACTTTTTGGTATTTTAAACACAAGTAGGCTAACTCCATAGAAAACTGGCACCTTCTTGGTGCTTCAATACTCATAACAGTTTGCAGGTCTCAAATAAGAACTCTCACAACATTAGTTTCTGATACAAGAAAATAATATCCTCCTTTTCATATTCTCAATAGGGGTAATTACAAGTTTATGACATGCTGTGGCATTATGCAGAATTTAAACTGTAAGGCCTTTTAACTTGCAGGGATGATCTAATGTCTTAATGATAGGATAACCAGACTTTCTCTGTCTCCTATTTCTGTCATGTTAAATATGAAAGACTATCAGTATCGACCGTCAGTAGGCCTAATGACCACATATATTACACTGCCAATTACTGTTAGTTCCTTCAGTTGGTATAGCCTACATTAATATTCCATTTAATTACACTGTTAGTTCCTTCAGTTGGTATAGCCTACATTATCATTCCATTTAATTACACTGTTAGTTCCTTCAGTTGGTATAGCCTACATGATCATTCCATTTAATTACACTGTTAGTTCCTTCAGTTGGTATAGCCTACATGATCATTCCATTTAATTACATTGTTTCGTTTATCTTCATTTGCTTGCTGTGTAAAGCCTTCACGACCGTGTAGATGTTGCTGAGGATCATTAGTAACAGTTGATAATATATATAAAAAAAGTGCAGACCAAGCCGCAACAATTTAAACCCGATACATGGTGCAATACTTGGCCGTGTCATGGTCCGGATACATGGTGCAATACTTGGCCGTGTCATGGTTAGTGCAGGCAGTAGACGAGGGTATAGTCTACCGTTGTACACTATTCTCCCTATTAGAATTCTATGTACACTGATCTTCCAACATTACTATGGGTTGAAGAACTGAATGTGGCGATTTTCAGAATGAATCAAACGAACCATTTTCTTTCTTTCAGGCTTAAAGGCTCTTCAAACCAGTTTTTATGATTCATTAATACTTTCCCAAACCTAAATAATCTGCAAGATCAGAGTATTTTTAAATCCACCAATTGCCGAAACGGAGATGAATATGCATATATTTGGATGGATTTCTTTAACTGATCCTTAACATTCTGAACCCATTCTCTCGAGTCTGTCGAAAAAATTCAAAATAAAAGGTACACTGTATTTAAAGGAATGGTTTAAGATAAATGTACTGAAACCACTATTAATTGAAAATTCCACAAGAAAATATGCCGGCCAGCGGTTGGAAAGGCGTAAATTCCTAAATCGGAATCGGTCCCCATGAGAATAGCATGCTATTCACCAACTATTCCTTTTGGTGGAGATCAAATAAATGAAGGTGTGGCAGAGGTGTGTCTACAGATATGCCGACTTAATAATAATATGCCATTTAGCAGACGCTTTTATCCAAAGCGACTTACAGTCATGTGTGCATACATTTTTAGGTATGCATGGTCCCGGGGATCGAACACACTACCCTGGCGTTACAAGCGCCATTAATGTCGGGCTACCTGTCGGTTCCAAGTGGAACAACTACTTTATTTTCCCCGATAGAAATAACACCATTCTCCATGCACTGCCATGTAAAGACACGCATATTCCGTCCCATTTTCAGCACAAATTGGCAGATTTAAAAATACTCTGATCTTGTATATGCATTTTAGTCATTTAGCAGACGCTCTTATCCAGAGCGACTTACAGTTAATGAGTGCATACATTTTTCATACTGCCCCCCCTCATGGGAATCGAACCCACAACCCTGGCGTTGCAAGCGCCATGCTCTACCAACTGAGCTACAGGGGACTACTAGTATATTATTTAGGATTAGGTAAATATGTATGAATCATTTAAAAAAAACTGGTTTGGCGAGCCTTTACGCACTCCCACCCCTATTCTTTGTCCTGGCGCCCATCTTCCGAAAATCCTACTCCTTCAAAGAGTATCTTAAATAAACGGAATGGAATGGAATGACGCAAAACGTAGGCTACAAATGGAAGGAAACTAACACTAAAGTGACAGTTATAAATGTATGTGGGTATTACTGACAGTGGCTCCCAGACAGTGGCTAATATTTAACATGAAATAAATTGTAAAATAAAACGGAGAAAAGCCCAAAACATTCTAAGGCACATACATCAGCTCGGCAGGTTCGGCCCTACAGAAGCCTATAGCTTGGGTCTCCAGGTTCGGCCCTACAGAAGCCTATAGCTTGGGTCTCCAGGTTCGGCCCTACAGAAGCCTATAGCTTGGGTCTCCAGGTTCGGCCCTACAGAAGCCTATAGCTTGGGTCTCCATGGTTCGGCCCTACAGAAGCCTATAGCTTGGGTCTCCAAGTTCGGCCCTACAGAAGCCTATAGCTTGGGTCCTCCATGTTCGTCCGCCCTACAGAAGCCTATAGCTTGGGTCTCCAGGTTCGCCCTACAGAAGCCTATGCTTGGGTCTCCAGGTTCGGCCCTACAGAAGCCATATGCTTGGGTCTCCATGTTCGGCCCTACAGAAGCCTATAGCTTGGGTCTCCATGTTCGGCCCTACAGAAGCCTATAGCCTGGGTCTCCAGGTTCGGCCCTACAGAAGCCTATAGCTTGGGTCTCCAGGTTCGGCCCTACAGAAGCCTATAGCTTGGGTCTCCAGGTTCGGCCCTACAGAAGCCTATAGCTTGGGTCTCCAGGTTCGGCCCTACAGAAGCCTATAGCTTGGGTCTCCAGGTTCGGCCCTACAGAAGCCTATAGCTTGGGTCTCCAGGTTCGGCCCTACAGAAGCCTATAGCTTGGGTCTCCAGGTTCGGCCCTACAGAAGCCTATAGCTTGGGGCTCCAAATTTGATCCACGGAAATTATGAAGGTATACAATGAAAATGCTGAATAAGGGCACAGCTATTCATAGCCTACTTCACTGTGGAAAAGGAGCCACAATACATTTCATGTTGATATGATTTTCAGTTTGCTTCAAATGACTAGTTTCACATTCATCTCCAGGGATCATAAGGAAAAATCATGTAAAACAATGAATGTGTATTTACAATCCCCTTCTCCAAACGGGTTACTCATTTACCTCTTACCTCTTATCAATAGCGATGGCAGTATGAAAAATGTATGCATTCACTAACTGTAAGTCGCTCTGGAAAAGAGCGTCTGCTAAAATGACTAAAATGTAAAAATGCTTCTCAATGTATATATTACAGTGCATGGAGAATGCTGCTATTTCTATTGGAAAAAAGAAAGTACATATAAATGCTTTTCCCACTTGGAACCAGTAGGTTCACTATACCTTATTCATGGTTTCCTCGCACATAAAGGTGGTGGAAGCTTTAGGGAATTAAATCAAGGTCAGAATATGGCGTATCTGTAGACACACCTCCGCCACACCTTCATTTATTCGATCTCCACCCAAAACGAATAGCGGGTGAATAGAATGCTGTTCTGATGCTTGAGTTCAAGATAGAGAGGAAAGTGCATGAAAAGGGAATTATGTTCCATTTATGGGTGCTTTACTCGGGTCGGAATTTCCCCCTAAAAGAATAATCCTTGATATGCCTCATCAGAGATGCAATGTTTTATGGGGCAGGTTGCTGACCATGCATTTACACAGTAGTGTCCTACTCCTATCGTCGATTGTAGTCATAATAATATTTGAAAACAGAGGACTGTCTGGTACATTAGTGTGTATAGCAATATGGGGTAAATTCTCATAATTAACCTAAACCTATTGCAGATTTATCAACACAGATAGTGGAAAGTAAGATTATTGACAGACATGTCAGCTCTGAAAGATAATGTCAAACCCTATCCTATGCATCAGGAGAAATATTCTAAATCTACCAAATGTTGAGGAAGCATTTTAATGTTTTTAGCCGCAGTAATGACATAAGCTTGATTTCCGAAACATTCTTGAGATTTCCCTCTTTTCAAAGTAAGATATATTTAGGCCTGCGTGTATATAGGCATAGAGTGCAAATAGTAGCCTCAGACGAGCTGCTGTTGACGCTCTTCAAATAAAGCAAGTTCGGTTGAGCCAGACGATGGCTTTTTAAATGTCCCATTTCAGGACGCAGTGTTTAGCAATAATGTTGGTTGCGGGAGATCTTACGTTTTCATTCAACCCTCCGTTCTGTGAGGGGGCGTGTTTACACTGACTGGTAAATATGTGGTAATGCAATAATATTTTCAGAGATTCAAAGTTATTTATTCTTACAGATATATTTACAGAACTATCACATCAAAGGATTTGACTCAAATGAACTTCGGTTGGTTTGAATAATGACTAAATGACTGTAGAGATTCCAAGTCAACGGATGGATTGGTGAAATAACCTTGCTAGGCCTTCTCCAGAATCACTGCGTTGTCTTGAGGAGTATTGCTTTTACATCTTCCTAGTGGAAAGTCTTCTAGGTCTCTATTTACATGGCGCGCCACGCGCGTTTACGTGCACTTTTATGCACAGTGACGCGCG